TGTTGCATCCTTGTATTACCCGTCATCCCACGTCATAATATTCATCCCCAAAATTTTCCTTTCATTTCACTTCACCACTGTCTGTCTCCATCTCACCTCTCAATCCCTGGTAATGCATTCAACTGTCTGAAAACAAATATTCATGGCGGAACAAATCATACGGCGCCCAAAGATTATCCAGAGGGCAAGCCCTCTTAGCATCCAATCTCAACCATGGTTTCCCTTTACCACTCCAGTGGAGTAAACTCACCGGACCCGGATGCAGATCCCTGCACAAACCTTCAAGATTATCGCCGCCGAGTCCGTGTTGATTCCACCGGTGCTCTACTCCTTCAACATTCCCGGCGAAAACTAGTAAATATGGAGGCAATGAACCCAATTCATAGATTCTGTACCTCTTTTGAATTCTCATCCAGTACTCGAGTTTTTCTGTGTACCCGTGAGTTCTCCATTTTGTCAAATCAATTACCATCACGCCGGTGTTGAAATAACATGCCTTACGGCCTTTGAATACTGTGGAAAATGCTGGACTTCTCCAGAATCTTGATGTGAAGTAGTGGCTGAAATTAGCATGGCAATATTCGGGGGCACCTAAGACGTGAGAGTTAAGGTTGATTTGCCAGAGTTTTGCAATGTCGTCAATGACTATGAGGTCGGAGTCAAGGTAGATGATGCGGGTGACGGTTGGGGGGAGGAGGTCAGGTAGGTAGATGCGGGCGTAATTGAGGGGCTGATCGAGGGCCCGGCGGATGGAGGAGGAGATGAGGTGAATGACGGTGGTAGGGTTGAAGGGGTAGAGGTGGAAATTAAGGTAAGGGAATGTGGCAGTGATGGTGCGACGGAGGTGTGGGTGGTGGTGCGGTGTAGCAAGGAAATGGAAGACGGTGTTTTCAGGGCAGGTGGAATGTTGGAGCACCGACAAAACACCTGCGATTGAGCCGCGGAGGTAGGGGGTGGAGTAATCGAGGGTCATGGCTATATGAATGGTGGCGTTGACGTGCACTGCGGCGTTGTTTGACCATAGGGATTTTGAGCATTCTTTGCCGTTGCGGAATGCAGGGGCTTCCCTAAATTGTGGGTTTTTAGCGGCGGAACTTTGCACAATGAGGAGAAGGGCGGTGATTCCGGCGGCGGCGAGGAGGTGGAGGTTAGGTGGCATTATGGCCGATTGAGGGCGAAAGGATTTATGAGTCCTTCCCATGGGTTAGTATGGTCTGGTCTCGTATGACATATGATGGAATAATAGAAGACTGGACTGCGACTCTTACATGGAAAATCAGTATAAAATTACATTTATGCCCAACTAGACACCAAATTTCTTACCATTTTAAGATAAAAAATTTCAAAAGCGTCAAATAGTTCTCGTTTATTGAAAATTTAGGCCTTGTTTGAGCTTGGCAAAGAATGTATCTTTTAATAGTGATTGATGGAAAGTGTGTGGTTAAAAAATAACGAAATTTTTTGGATTTAATTGTAATATTATTTTATTGAAAAATATGTAATTGAAAATAACTAAATAAGAAAGAAAATAATGAGTATCAAACAAGAGCTGAATGCATGTTTTCAAAAACTCAAAAAGTTGAAGTCAAAATCAACAAATTCAATTTTTAATTTCCATGATGTATTTTATAAATTTTTGTCAAATGTTCTAAGATTTTAATCAAATGAATCTAACACGATAACAATAGATATACGTGTAATTTTTTAATACGTAGCTAATATTGTTATGAGTCATACATTTATATCTGTCGTTTTTGTCAATAATTTGAAAATTTAGCTAGAATTGATTTTGATACGTCAATTGTAGACATACGTAAACTTACTTAACACACATCTAATAGTGTTCATAAATTAAAAGTTTACATTTGTTAAATGTATCAATAATTTAGCAATGACTTTAGCGAGATAACTATAGATAAATAAACGGTTTTCAAATATGTATGTCACAATTGTTAAAAATCTTAAGTTTACATTTGTCAATCCTGAAATTCAATTGGTCAATAATTAAAATGAGCATACGCGTGTTAATAGAGTTATAAACTTTACATTCTAGACATATTCAAATCTTTTTTCGTTTTTATTCAAATAATTATGTATTGATAAAAAAATTTTTTATAAAACAATGATTACACTTTTATCTTAATTTTTACATTATGCATTCAAAATCATTTCTAGTATTTATCTTTTTTGACTTATTTTATTTATGATGATATATTCTACATGTTAAATTCAAGGAACTAACAAGTAATATCCTCAAATATTAAAATAAACAATAATTTCCTTAGATTTCGTTTAATATAAGTTAAAAATAGATTTTCTTAATTACTGAATATTGCTCTGGGGCAGCTTTGGTATTTCAGACTTTTTAGGGTGGGACCAGACGTTTCAATTGAGAGTGGTGAAGCCAGGCTGGAAAGCCGCGTCTTTAATGACGAGAAGAAAAATAATGTGCAATTGGTTGCACGGACAGTCTGTGCAACCGTACATTCTTGACCGTACACAGCCAATCAGAGGTCAGTATTATTTTACTGTGACGACGGCCAATATTTTCCATTACCAAGAATGGCGGCTTAATTAAGCTAATCCTTCGTAATTAAGAAAGTTTTGAAAAGGCAAGGAGATAAAAAGTTGGATTGAGTAATTTTTGCTTTCATTCCCTTACATTGAATACAACATCATCTTTCTTTTAAAAAAATTGTAGACCAAAAAAGCATTTTTTAAACTGTTCAATGGTGTGTTGTCACGTGACATATTGTAAAAAATAATGTAAAAAATGATGCATATGTAACATGATTGCAAATTCCAATATAATACACCGAATGTGGGTTACACAATTTTTAATAAAATATTATTACACGTAATTTCAAACTTTCTCATTTTTTTTTTTTTTGAATCAAATGTAATATCATTGATGACGCATAAAGCGGATAAAGGAGGAGAAACCTCCAACACATGCTCCCCTAAGAGAGATTAAGTATCTCCTATGCAAAGCAAAACCACAACAAACTATACAGGATCGACACCAGACAAAACAAAATGAAAACAAGACACCACCAAACAAGGTCGAAGAACATCTGTGACTTTACAATCAGGAAAATTCGACTTAAAAGTTAACTACGCAATCAGCACTTGAGCACACCCACACATAAAGTAGCGGGCATTGTCTAGACCTTGCCACAGACAAACAAACCAACCAAATCCAACAAAACACAAACATCCCAACAAAACACAAACTAAACAACACTAAAACAACCCAAACAAAACAAAACACCACCAAGCAACAACCAACCCAACCCCCGCACCAACTACAACATAAAAACCAACACCATCAAACCCAAAAACAGCAGATCAGGGCACAAAAATCTGGCACACCACCAGACCCAAAGAAAGGCCCCCGCCGGCGAAGAACCCCGAACGGCACACCCAATAAGCTCCAGCAACTCCCGACCAAAACGGTGCAAAGCCCCAGGTTTCATACGAGCAACCACAGCACCTGCAACAGAGGCTGGTCGTACTGCCCCCAGCCCTAACTCGACCGCAGCGCGGCACTTGCCACAGCCCCCAAGTGTAACCGATCAAAGCCACCACTACAACGGAGTCCAACCCGAACAACCAAACGCCGCCCGGACCCCCATCGCCACCCAGGACACCACCGTACATCCCACAAACAGACCGCCCAAAAGGAAAAAAAGAAAGACAAAAAAGGAGGAGGGGAGAAAAGAACCCCCCCCCCCNAAAGGAGAGAGAAAAGACGGAAAATTGCTTCTATTGTCGAGAATTCCCTTCTCTCTCTACTTGCACATATATATTTGTTTGTTGCAAACTTTCTCTCTTCTTAACCACACATTTAAAAAAAAAAAAACATTATTCCAATAATTAAAGTCTCCAATAATGGAAGTTAAACGGGGGCTTAATGTCAATTATATTCAACCCTTGTTTGAACCCCATTTTTCTCGTCAAAATGGATTATTGAATAGTGATTTGATTCCATTACAAATACATTTTTCAATAAAATAATATTACACGAAAACCTGAATTTTTTCCTTATTTTTTAATAACACATTATCCATCATAACACTAATGCAAAATTTAATTTTTACAAAAAAATGAGGTTCAAATAAGTCCTCAATAAAATACGGTATATTCATTGCATCTACTTACTGATGTACGTATCTACCTCAAAATCATGAAAACCTAAATCCAAGTTGGGATGTGCTCATTTAGATATATTACTCGATGATGTATTTTAAAATAAGTATGAGAACAAGGGAATTACAATAGGAGATTCTATGTCAATACGTACACTTCAATACGATTTCTTAATTAGCATTCGTAAAATTTTTCTTTTTCAAGCTTTGGATAAAATTTAGCAATGATTTCGTATCAAATTGAAAATTTACATAAAATATTATTTTAAACAAACGTCAAGAATAGCAAATCCATGAAATGCAATGTTTTTTCTTACAAATGTTACTTGTATATAATGAAGTTAGATAATGGTTTATATACAAATGACATGTTAAAAAGAGAATGTGAAATTTATTTTTTATTTTTATTTAGTTGATGAAATTTTGATCAAATCAAATTTCGTCATATCATTTGTTGGTAAACAAATATGTAAGTTGTGATTTACATGCAGCTCAACCATTCTCTTAATATTTTGTTCTTTGGGGGGATGTACATGAGTGTATGTTAGAATTTCATTATCATGCATCCCAATTATAATATAAGCTCATCAGTCTAAGTTATTCATAGATTAGTGCTATGTAGTAGGGACAATAAATAGAATAGGAAGATTCCAAACCATATTAATTTTCTATAATAACTTCTTGTCCTATATTAATATCATGTTGCGTGAGAGAGGGTCGGTCCTTAGGGATTTGGTTTGTTCATGAATTTCATCAAACTACAACGAGCGGTTCAATTTGCGAAAAAGTGAAATAAATTATTCACAGGTAATTAGCACACTACGTCCTCACCTTTTAGTATTATTGTAATAAACGTCTTTATCTTTCATTTTTGACAATTTCACCCTTATTTCCACCTTTCATTGCTCAAAATGTCATTTTTATCCATTTTCTTAATTAAAAATTGTGAAATTACAAACATATATTTCTCTTTACATAAAACAAAAGGAAAAAGAAAAAACTAAGTGTAATCACATTCCCAAATTTTTTTGACCCGGCTCGGGCTTTTTCCGAGCCGCGCCCGGGCCGTCCGAGCCTCCGAGCTTTTTTGCCACCGCTAGGGTCACACAATTTTTAATAAACTATTATTACATGTAATTTTAAACTTTCTCTCTTCTTAATCACACATTTAAAAAAAAAAACATTATTCTAATAATTAAAATTTCCAATAATGGATATTAAACGGGGGCTTAATGTCCATTATATTCAACCCTTGTTTGAACCCCATTTTTCTCGTCAAAATAGATTATTGAATAGTGATTTGACTCCATTACATTTTTCAATAAAATAATATTACACGAAAACCTAAATTTTTTCCTTACTTTTTAATAACACATTATCCATCATAACACTAATGCAAAATTTAATTTTTACAAAAAAAAAAGTGGTTCAGGTCCTCAATAAAATACGGTGTATTCATTGCATCTACTTACTGATGTACGTATCTACCTCAAAATCATGAAAACCTAAATCCAAGTTGGGATGTGCTCATTTAGATATAGTACTCGATGATGTCCATATTTTAAAATAAGTATGAGAACAAGGGAATTACAATAGGAGATTCTATGTCAATACGTACACTTCAATACGATTTCTTAATTAGCATTCGTAACATTTTTCTTTTTCAAGCTTTGGATAAAATTTAGCACTGATTTCGTATCAAATTGAAAATTTACATAAAATATTATTTTAAACAAACGTCAAGAATAGCAAATCCATGAAATGCAATGTTTTTTCTTAAAAATGTTACTTGTATATAATGAAGTTAGATAATGATTTATATACAAATGACGTGTTAAAAAAAAATGTAAATTTATTTTTTATTTTTATTTAGTTGATGAAATTTTGATCAAATCAAATTTCGTCATATCATTTATTGGTAAACAAATATGTAAGTTGTGATTTACATGCAGCTCAACCATTCTCTTAACATTTTGTTCTTTGTGGGGATGTACATGAGTGTATGTTAGAATTTCATTATCATGCATCCCAATTATAATATAAGCTCCTCAGT